TATTGTTCCATGAATCATTGTTTGCATATAACACCCAAGTGCTCATTGTAATAGTGCCCTCTTTAATACCCATCCCCCCACCCCCCTCCCCTCTGAAACCCTCAGTCTGTTTCCCGGGTCCCAAATTTTCTGAGTAGATTATTCTGAGGCAGTCAAGATAGATCAGTCTCCCTTGCAGGTCCCGGGGAATGCTGGACGTTTTATAGTTTGCTGCCCTCTAGTGGCACAGAAGTGATGAGTCTCCTCTTTCACGTAGCATCTTGCTCTCGGGAGAACGTGTGGGACAGAACAGAGGGCCATACCGGTCTCTGCTGAGGGCATTCCCAGGCTAGTGGAGGCCACTGACTTTTCACCGAATCAGGGTCTGAGGGTAACAATCCACACCTTGGGCTGTACAAGGGGGCCGACGTACGTACCCTTACCTAACTGGGCTGCCCAGCCAAAGTGGTCAGGTGGCCTCCAAGCTGAGCCTCCAGAGCTTTCGGCAGTCTTTGACGACTAGAGTTGCTTTCCTTTTGAATGGTGGAACTGGTAAGCACAAAATGAGATGTTTCAGCTGGCCTTCCTCCTTATCCACTTAGTGATGGCTCTCTTCTTCCGTCTCTCTTTCCCAACCTCTCATGTAATTCTGCTTTGCCTCCTTTTTGGGCTGAATTGTGTCCCCTCAAAATTGGTTTGTAGAAGCCCTAACCCCCAGTTCTTCAACACATGAATGTATTTGGAGACAGGGCCTTGGAAGAGGGGTTGAGTTAATGGGGCCATTAGGGTGAGCCCTCACCCAATCTGACTGGTGTCCCCATCAGAAGAGGAAAGTTGGCTACAGATGTGTATAAAGACCACGTGAGGACACAGCGAGGAGGCCATCTGCCAGCCAAGGAGAGGCCTCAGGAGACACTGAGCCTGCTGACACCTTGATTTTGGACTTCCAGCCTCCAGAGCTGTGAGAACATAACTTTCCATTGTTGAAGCCCATGTCTGTGGTGTTTTCTTGTTGGCAGCCCTAGCAAACGATATAACCCTAACATAATACTTATTTCTACAGGGCAGTGGTTGCATTTTGAGTTTTTTTTTTTTTTTTTAATTTAGGGGGAGAGAGAGAGAGAGATTGAGAGAGAGAGAAAGAGGGAGAGTGGGCGAGCGCGGAAGAGGGGCAAAGGGAGAGGGAGGGAGAGAGAATCTCAAGCAGACTCCCTGCTGAGTGTCAAGTCCAATGCAGGGCTCAATCTCATGACCCTGAGATCATGACCTGAGCCGAAATCAAGAGTTGGACGCTTAACTGACTGAGCCACCCAGGTGCCCCAACATTTTGAGGTTTTCAAGGATATAAACACACCCACTCCCTCCTGGGCCCCGCCACAGTTTCTCTATCTGTCCAGAGGATCCTTAAGATAAACACAGAGCAGTTTTCCTTTAATTGCATTTAATCTTCATGGTAATCCATTTTATAGATGAAAACATTCCTAGAAGTTAACTTGGGTCACCCAGGTAGTGGGGACAGTCAGGATTCAGACTCAGTTGTGCCTCCGAGTGCCACCTCCCCCTCCGTGGCTCGGAGCAGCTGGCCGGCCCCGGAAGGTCATGGGCAGGGATCTGGAAGGAGGTGGCTGGCAAACCGCAAGAATGTTGCTCATTTGCCCTGCTGATCCTTGCAAAGAGTGGTCTGGTTTCTCCCTTTATCCATTGAGAAAAAGCTCCATTCCTCTGAAAAACTCTCCAATATACTCCACGAGGCAGGACGTAACCGACACATCCCCGTACCACCCTCCTCTTGAAAGTCCTCTTGAGTTAGTACGCCTGTCTGAACTGACAGAAACAATGGGAGCTTGTGGACATTCTGGTCTTGGTCAACAGTGACTCCTAACCACACTGTTATTCTTTCAAAATAAATTTTATTAGTGGCACATGGAGTTTAAAGCTAAGCAATTTCTTTCCAGTGAGAAGGTAAGACCTGACAGACTAAAAAATTGTCACAGCAGAAATACCATTTCCAGTGTAAAGCGAGATGAATAGGAAGAGTTTCCACCAAGGAAATGACTTTTTTTCATGATGCTGACCATGCTGTACACATGCCCCCTGCAGTCGTGGGGGCCCACAGCCCTGGACATCGGGAGGGTGCAGTAGATCACAGTGCATCCGCACGGGATCGGCGCGCTAGTTAGAGTAGGGGTGGAGAGATCATGAGCCCCCTTACTCGGCATGAGCACCAGGAGGGCCTGCAGTAGGCGGAAGCTGGTGGGAAAATGCTACGCCAGCAGACTCACGTGGGAGCTCTGCAGTCTCCATTAGACCCTTCACCTCCAGACTGGGGACTATGGGTTATCAGAGGCTACTTCTAAAGTATCTGGAAACATGTCCACATCAGTAAGTCAGAGGAGATCTGAACCTTCTTAGAAAAATCAGCTTCTCCTCTCATGGGTTCTTTTCCCTGACATTCTTCGGACTTAACGTGAACTCCACAACAGAGAGCCCCGGGAGGTGTTGGTCTGGGTCCCCCCACCTTTCGAGCCTGCCCCTTCTGTCTCTGCTGCAGGTCTCCTGATCCCAGATGGCACTCCCTGCACCGAAGTGGCTGTTGTCCTGTTCAGATCGTCATTTCTTCTTTCTAATCTAAGACACTGGGGACGACTCATAAGAAAGACTCAGGACCTGGTCATCTGCACTGGTCTTATTTTGACCTTAACAGGAGCGTTTCTCTCGGCACTTCAGATCCTCCCCTCAACCAAACACTCAGATACTCATTGATCAAGGCGACAAAACGAGTGACAGACTGCAGAATTTTCCATTTCTAGATCTAATTGATTAAGCCAGGTCTCCACACCAGGAAACTGGACTTTCCCTCCAAGCTAGCATCTAGAACACAATCTTCAGGGTCCTAGGGCAGGTCAATGATATTGGTCTCGTCGAGATCGATTCCAGAGTGCAGCTTGCCATCCTTGGCGGCTGCCCAGGGCATGGAGGTGGAGGTCCACTTCACTGCCCAGTCTCCTGCTTTGCTGACCAAGATGACGCCGCCTAAACCCTTCAGCTTTGACTTCATATAACCCAACGACATGTTGGCTGCCTCTTCCAATGTCTTTCCTGAAAACGAGGAAAGGTTGAGAAAAAACACACATTATAATGAAACGAATATGATGGGAAAATCAGTTGCAGTATGAACAACCCAAGTGAGTTAACAAAGACTTTGGGCAAATGATTTCTATGAACGCTTCAGAGAAGGATCCTCACCATAAAAGGCCCTCTTTGCACGAGATGATGCCTCGCATCAGCCTGAGCAGAGCTGCTTTCTCTCCCACACCCAGGCTCAAAGTCTCTCTACTGCCCCCGAGATGTCCAACACGGACAATAGCCTAAGTGCACTTCTTTCCAGATCCTAACAGGAGGTGGGAAGAAGTCAAAGGAGCGTTAACCTGAAAAGAACATCTGAAGCAAATGAGAAAGGGTTTCATATACTTTACAGCCTATTTATAAAGAGCTTCCATTCACTTGTCTTCAGACAGTATGAACTTGCTCTGTGTACCTTGTTCTACGTGGAAGAGAGTCAGTCTGGCCAGATTCACCTTCAGGATGCTCTCCCCATGCCCCGTTGTTGAAATGGCGCCAACATCATTGTCAGCATAACCTCCAGATCCTGCTCAAAAAAGGTGGACTGGTTCTGACTGAGCAGCAACAGTGAAGAAACGCAAACACGCATCAAGTCTAATGCTACATAAATGTTAAATCCCAAAGAGTGCCAAAGTGTGAACACGGGTCAGTAGCTGTGACCTTGAGATGCAGAGGTGGAGTAGGGCGTGCCAGGTGATGACCCTGAAATCAGTGGTGGCTGGGCCGGAGGGGGTTGGCCCGAGCTCTCACCGAGCAGCTCCTCCAGGACCGCTCCTCCTTTGCGAAGCCCATGCAGCCAGTCCTAGCCCCGCCACTGACCCACGCCCGGGAGCCAGAGGACGTACTTCAGTGTCAACACAAATGTTTCCACTTGTAGCAGCACCGCGTCGCTTTCGTGCCACTCAAATCTAGTAGCTGCCAACCTATATTCTCAGCTTTTTCTGTTTGTTAATTTGGGCCCATGCCTGGGAAGAGGCTTTGTGTATGTAACTCTTCGGGGCTAAGTCTGCAGATCCTGAGGCTGGGACTAGAGAGAAGAAAGAGACCCTTGGGGGCTCGCTGGGGGCCCCCTGAGCCTCCCCAAGTCATCACGGGAGCCACCTGCCTCGGAAAAGCCTCGCGCCTGCTGCTTACAGGCGCCCTCTCTAGGCGGTGCCGCCCCCCC